GAATGAAACGGCTCTCCATACTCTGCAGGAACACAGTGGGGCAAATAAGTATTTGATACACTGCAGTGTAAGTTTTCMCCCCTACAAAAAATGAAGAGGTTTGAACTTTTTTATCGTAGGTACACTGCAACTGTGAGAGACAAAATCTAAAAAACAAATCCAGAAAATTTAATGATTTCTAAAATATGTGTTTGACTTTTATTGCATGAATTAAGTATTTCATCATTTCATTTTGGGAGATCATTGAGCTGCCGATATTTAAATGAGACGCYGATCTTATCTCTCTTTGTAAAGCTCTGAAAATCAGCCACTGTCCCCTTTTGCTGTGCTGTGATGAAAGAGGCCCACTGTCCAGTTAAGTCAAACATTGTATTATTTCAAGGGTATTGTTCAATGTTTTTCAACAACATAAGATTAGAACATTGAAGGTGTACTATAACCTTATAATACCCGTCAGTGTCATTCATAAAAAAAAATCTGAATCGGCAGGTCATGCTTTTTAAAGATCAGTGATTGATACCTCTACAATAATCAGAATCTGTCTAATAAAATTGATTCATATCTATTTCAAAATAAAAAGGGTCTGCTGAGAGGGCAGCCTAACTGAAGAATAATGTCAAAAAGAAAAAAGGAGGATCAAGAGTTCAACGTGGCACTCGGTGCTGTGCGACAGATGGGATGAAAGCGAAGGATGGGGGAAAAAATGACACGACAATAGAAAAGTGAGGAGAGTCTCTCACGGAGCGAGACAAGATGAAAATAACTAGGTGAACGCAGCATCTCACCTTTTGGATCAGATGACTCAGACTGTGTAGATGGAGGGGGAGGAAAAGGAGGAGGAGGGGTGCGTGGAAAAGACAGGCTAAAGAAAAAGGGAAAAGAGTAGGAGGAAGACTTGTGGGAGATGTATGCACGCCTTTAAATCACAGTCTGTTTCAGTAAAAGCTCATGTGTGGAGCGTTTCATGATGGAAACGGTTTTTTTCTACTTCTTGCAGCGTGTGTCTTTAAGGGGGTCTGTCTGGGGACATGTGAGAGAGTGTGATCCGTGGAGCTGTGACTTCCAGCGGCATGCTGGCAACGACACCTCAGTGGTAAAAGTGTGGCTGCCGCTTGTACCTTCCTGCTTCCACTAATTACCAGCATGCAACAGCTTCATAAATGTGTATCTCTCTCTCTCTCTGTGTGTCTCTGTGTGTGTGTGTGTGTGTGTGTGTGTGTGTGTGTGTGTGTGTGTGTGTGTGTCCTTGTTTCTACTACAGAGTGAGGACCACTTGAGACATAGTTCAAGGATTCAAGAATTCAAGGAAGTTTTATTGTCATTTGCAAAACACATTCATGTGGTGGAACGAAATTCTGTACCCAAGGTCCCGGTCTATCCAAAAAAATGTAGGTTAAAAAAACTATCACTATTAGAAAGGTTTAAGTGAGGACCTCTTCATTGTCCTCACTTTATTTGCAGCTCTACTGTGCTTTACTAGTTAGKTTTAGAGGTATGGTGTGGTTTAGATTAGAGTTAGCTATAGACCAGCAATGATTAGTTTTAGGGAAAATGTCTGGGTTAGGCATAAATACAGTTAAAAAATTAATTGAAGTCAATGCAAAGTCCTCAGTTTGATGCAAGTACAAGGGTGTGTGTGTGTGTGTGTGTGTGTGTGTGTGTGTGTGTGTGTG